GGCCGGGTGAAGACGTGGAAGCGGCGCTGGTTTATCCTCACTGACAACTGCCTCTACTATTTTGAGTACACTACGGTGAGGGCAGAGCTGGGCTTGTGTCTGCGGTGCTGCTGGGAGGAGGGGCTGGGGGTCAGGCTCTGGGGTCTGAGGGAGGAGGGCTATACCAGTCCACTAGCGCTGCTATGACAAAGTACCACAACCGGTGACTTGAACCACAGGCACTGCTGGGGTTGGGGAGGAGGAGCTGAGCAAGGACTGGAAAGTCTGAGTCCTGTCCACCTTGTTCCTTCAGGACAAGGAACCCCGAGGAATTATCCCCCTGGAGAATCTGAGCATCCGAGAAGTGGATGACCCCCGAAAACCGGTAAGACCCTCTCTGTGCCCCTTCCTGCCGTGGTAGCACCTCCTCTGGGCCCAGGGCCAGCTCTGACCTGCCATCACTCTGTTCTCATGTCTCCCCAGAACTGCTTTGAGCTTTATATCCCCAACAACAAGGGGCAGCTCATCAAAGCCTGTAAAACAGAGGCCGACGGCCGGGTGGTTGAGGGGAACCACATGGTGTACCGGATCTCGGCCCCGACACAGGAGGAGAAGGAGGAATGGATCAAGTCGATCCAGTGAGCCTGGGCTCCGGGGTCCTTGGGTGGGAGCAGAGGGTGTGGGGAGCTGGGCTTCTTGGCCCTCACCCTGGACCCTCCCCTTCTGCAGGGCAGCTGTGAGTGTGGACCCCTTCTATGAGATGCTGGCGGCAAGGAAGAAACGGATTTCTGTCAAGAAGAAGCAGGAGCAGCCCTGACCCCCGCCCCCAACCCCATTATTTATTACGGAGCTGCCCCACCCGGGTGGCCGGACCCCTGGGCCCTGGGGCTGCGGATCCTGGTTCTCTGTTTGGAAAATTCACCACCTCTAGCTCCTCTCTCGTTATTTGTAATTAACACACTGTTGGTAATCTTATTAATTATTTAACCACTCGCAGCCTCGGACCCCTCCTTTCTTGGGGTCGGCAGGGCTGAGGGGCTTGGGCTAGCCAGCCAGGTGGCCCATGCATGTCGGGGCCAGGAGCTTCAGTCTTTGCTGGGAGCTGTTATGGTAGGTGAGGAACATGCTATCAGAGGGTGCAGCCACGGGGGTGGGGAGCGGGTCAGCTCCCATATCTGTACCTTCTGGTTTTACCTTGAGCTTGCAGGCCAGGGTAAGGGAGGGAGGAGTATAATGTGGCATCAGTGGGTGTGGAGTTAGGATGGCGTGGCATTGAGGATGCAGATGGGCACAGGTTCTGGGGTGAGGCCCAGCATTTGTAAGTTCTGGATGTTACTTGACAACCAGGAGCTGCGCAGGTGCTGGTGCTCCCCACTGCTCTCACCTGGCTTGCGTCTTGGAGGGCGACAGGTAGTATCTGAGGGGTTATGAGTGAGGCCAGTGCTTGGAAGGGGAGTAGAGAGCTGTACGAGCTGTAGGGAGACCTACTGTGGGAGCACAGGGGATGGATGAGCCCGGAAAAGAGGAGGCAGGCCTTGCCAACTGGCTATCCCTGGGGCTCCGCAAGGGGTTGCTGGTATTTGAAGTGGGCTGGGTGGGAGTGGGGGATGGGGGTGGAGGACTTGGGGCCAAGAAGCTAAGACTGTGGTCCGGTTGAGCCAGTTTCTCAGCCACCAGACGCTGGTCCTCTGGTAACTTTTTACACCGACCAAGGATAGCTCTGGGAACCTGCATTATTATATCTCCTGTCTGGGGAATCAGCCTCTGAAGTGCAAGGTCTTGCTTTCCTTGAGGGCGAAGGCTTAAGGAGTTGGGGGGCCCCTGAGCCCCTTCCTGCTTGGGATATGCTTGGCTTCCCCAAAGAACAAAGGCACAGAGATCCTGAGGGGGGTGGGTTGGCAGGGTGGGAGACCCTGTGTCACTCTCCTATGGCCAGATCTGCAGTTGAGATTTGAGTGTGAGAACCCACAAAGTTGGGCAGGCCCCAGGACCAGGTCAGGTTGAACGGGAAGACCGGCCCCTAGTTCCTCCCTCCCACATGCTGTGTCTTCAAAGGGTCCAACCCCTAGCTGAGTGCTCCTGGTGGTGTGGCAAGCACCCCAAATCTTGGGCCCTTGGCCTCAGGCAATCACCTGCTCCAAGCACCACCCGCCCAAAGTACCATAACGATGCTGCCACCCTTGAAGGTGGCCCTCTTCTCAGTCCTGCAAAAACCCTTGGACTACAATTCCCAGCAAGCTGTGCGGTGCTGGCCACCCTGCCAGTGGGAGAACCAGTCTCAAGGTCTTCTGGGAGTTGTAGTTTCCCAAGGCTCCAACGTGGGGCTTACTGTAGCCTGGTCTATCCTAGTGTGCAGGTTGGGGAGAGAAGCCCTTGGCCACTTCAATCGCCAGGCACTGATGGGAGATGGAGTTCCCAAATGAAAAGGGAGTCATCAGCCCAAGGAAATGAGGTCTCTGGGTAAATAGAGGGTCCCATCACTACCTCACTCTATCCTGCCCTCTGGGGCGTGGACCCCATAGGTACTGAGTACTCACTAGTTGGGTTGGCAGAGATGGCCTGGGAAGGCATTGCGGGCCCAGGGAACAGCATGAGCGGAGGCAGGAAGAGTCATGCTGCACTGGAGTAACCAACAGAGGGGCTTGTGTCCCTGCATGGTGGGACTGGGGAGGGAAGTTGATAAGAGGTGGGAGGCAGACCTGATCTTCGGGAGCGCAATCCACCAGGATAGGGACTTTGGATGTATTTTTAGTTGATGGAAGCCATTCAAGGGTGTGGAACAGGCATGCGACGTATTTGGATTGAGGCTGCTGTAGGAGGGGCCTCTGGCTGCTGCCAGAGAATAATTTGGAGCTGAGTCAGGGCAGCAGCAGGGAGGTGAGTTAGGACGCTGTGCAGTTTTACTCTGGGGGCAACAGAGGAGCCAGCAGGATTTACTGAGTGCGGGACCAACTCCAGGATTCTAGGCTTGAGCCACTGGTGAATGGTAAGGTCATTTATCGAGCCGGTCGGAGAGGGAGTTTTGGAGGTGGGGAGTGGGGCGTTGGTGGTTCTGCTTTGGCCAGCTTAAGCTGGAATTGCCTGTGCAGCGTTCCAACCAGCCTCATCCCCTCAAAATTGTCCTTGAGTTTTGGCCCCAAATCCATCTCCCCCAAAGACTCAGTTCTAGCTGCCAGCTCCCACCTCTCCCAGGACCCCAAATTCCCAACCTCGTTGTTACGGGTTGAATCATATCAGCCTGAAATCAGTATGTTGAAGTCCTGACCACCCCCGTATCTCAGACTGTGGTCTTATTTAGGAATCGGATCATTGTAGATGCAATCAGGATGAGGTCATTAATGTGGGCACGGATCCAGTGTGTCTAGTGTCCTTATACAGAGAAACTTTGAACCCACAGACACACACACAGGGAGAAAGCGCATGAAGGTGAAGGCAGAGATTGGGGTGATGCTTCTACACACTAAGGAGCACCGGCAGCTAGGCGAGTCATGGAGCAGATTCTCCCTCACAGCCTCAGAAGGAACCCATCCTGCGGATGCCTTGATCTTGCATTTTCACCTCCAGAACGGAGATGGTGTCCGTGGCTTAAGCCACCAGATTTGTGACACTTTGTCAATAGCAGCCTTAGTGAACTAATACAGCCCTTCTCCTTCAGACCCGGGAGTCCTGCCCTCAAAACCAGGGGTCCTGGCCCCCAGCCCCCTCTCCTCCCTCAGACCCAGGAGCCTTGGTTCCATCAGCACCCACCCTGGGCAGGTGTGTCCTAAGATCAGCTCAAGCACCCCACAGTGGCTCTGAGGCAGAACCTAATCCTCACTCTCCCTTTCTCCATCCCCCAGACTTAACAAGTGACCCTAATGCCTTCATCACCTTAATTCCTAAGCCAGGAGTCCACAGCATCCCAGCTGGGTTCCCACTCCCGGCCCCTTCCTCCACTCTCATCCAAACTGGTACCAAGGGGAGGGGGGGCAGGTTGCAGCCAGGAGATCAGATACATGATAGACTCGTCAGAGGAGAAAGAGAGGGAGGTAGCATCAGTCCGGAGCCCCGGAGAAACGGAGAAAAAGAAATTGAGACAGACAGACACTGCAGAAAGACATAACGAGGCAGGCAGGCGACAGGGAGGCACGGAGAAGGAGAAACGTGTACAGATGGAGAGACTCAAAGAAACAGAATAAGGAGGAGGGCCCCAGAACTCGGGCCAGGTGGGGAGATGGAATCCCACGGGAGGTGGCCGCTCACATGCAGACACAGGTAAACTGAGGCACAGCCACCGCGGGCGGTGGGGGCACAGGGCAGCACTGTTCTGAGGTGTGTGGCGTGTGGCCAGGAGCCACGTGGGTGCTGGCTGGTCATTCCTGAGCACCCCGGGCGGCGCTGGGACGGCCTCTGGCCAGCGCCGCAGCTGCGCGGCGGCCACACGGCTCCTCCGACCAGCCTCGCGGGCTCCGGCCGCCTCTTAGCCGGACTCGGTGCTGCCCCCAGCGGGCGGAGCGGGGAGCCAGAGGTGCGAAGCCGCAGCCGGGCCGCTGCGCCGCGTGTCCGCCTTCCTGAGCCTCGAGCTGCCCATCTGTGAAGCGGGCGGCCGCCGGCGACTTCTCCGGGACCCTCCCCCGATCTTTGCCCCGAAACACGCACAGGCCCCCGCATTCCTCCAAAAAGTTGTTTTTGTCTTTTTTAAATAATGTGAAAATGCCACGCGAAGGTTTGAACCAGAGGCCCCTCCAGGGGCCGGGCTGGGGCGGGGAGGGGAGACGCGAGATGGGGGGTCCAGGTCCCCGAAGCCTGCAGCCCCTCGCTGGGGCCAGGAGTGGGTAGGAGGGGCCTCCGCTGTGCCGAGGGGCTCCAGGCCCGAAAGAGTTCAGTTCAGTTCCAAGAAAGGCGGCTCTCCAGGGAGGGATGAGGGGCTTCCTGCCTCATTTGGCACCGAGGGGGTCGGGGGGCTCGGGGGAGCCGTCCGGAGGGCTGGGGGGTGGGGGGCCAGGGCCTCCCGTTTGGCACATGGTGGGGGAGGGGGAGGGCCCAGCCTCAGGAGCCTCCCCAGAGGCGGTGTCTGTGGTGGTGGCAGTGGCTCCGTCGTCCACAGAGGATTCTACTCTCAACCCCTCTTCTGGGGGTGCAGGAGGGTGGGGTCTTCGGGGAGTCAGTTCTCCACGGGGCCTGAGAAGGAGGGAGTGGAGAGAGAAAGTCAGTTACTGGGCAGACAGGCTCATGGCTCTGTTTCTCTCTCTCTCTCGAAGTGAAAGTGGAGCCCTCACCCAGGCCCACAGGGCCCCAGATAATCTGTTCTGTCCCACTTCTGTCCTCACCTACGCCATCCCCCTCACTCACTCCTCTCAGGCCACGCTGTCCTTGCTGTTCCTCCTCGGCTCCAAGCACAGTCCTACCCCAGGGCCTTTGCATAGCAGTTCCAACCACCTGGAATGCCCTTTCCTCATCCCTTCCCCTGTAAGGCAGGCCCCTTCCTCAGAGGTCTTCCCTGGCCCTTTTCAGTCAAGAAGTCACCATTTTACACCCCACCTCCACCCCCCAGTCACTCTGGTTATTCTCCTTCATGCTTCTCCCCTGAGACACCCCAGTCACTGTCTGCTAGCTGCCTGTCTGCCTGCCTCTCTAGAGTAAGTTCAGGGAGGATGGCCCTGTGCTTGGTCACTGCAGCATCCCCAGCGTCCAGCACAGGGCCTGAAAGCGCCCTGCCACCAAACTGCCCCATGACCCCTCCTATCCCAGTGGAACGAAAGCCCCCACCCATTCCACGGATTCAGAAAACCAAGGTCTGTGGGATGGAGGATCTCACCGCGGGCCACACCCACCCAGCTGCAGCACGGGTATCTGCGGATGGAAGGAAGGGATTTGGGGTTTCACAGGACTGGGCCCTCCCTCTCCTCTCCTAGTGAAGTCATCTTGGCACGCTGGCCCTGCTGGCCTCAGCCTTGACTCACCACTTGGCAGTGTCCCCATGTCCTGGAACCCACCCCACGCTGTCCTCATGGAGGCCTCAGAGAAGACCTCTGGGAGGAAGTGACATTTGAGGTGGAACCTGAAGATGTAGCCAAATGAAGAGTCTGCCCTTGGCCCTGTCCTTCCTGCCCTGAACCCTGCCTGTACTCTCCTCTCCCTCCTGGACCCTGGCACCGGCCTCCTCTCCAGCCTCCCAGTCTCCAGTTGGCCCCCACGTGACCCCAGAGGGGATCTTCCTATACCAGCAGCTGGTGCTGTCCTTTCCCTGGTCACAGCTGACATGGCTCCCTAGTGCCCCCAGGACGAAGTCCCTCTCTTCAGCCCACCCACAAGCCCTGCATAGTCCTCCCTGCCCCCTCCCCCTGCCCCACTCCCTAAGTAACCCCCAGACACACATGCCTCCCTTCTGTTCCCTGAACTGGCCAAGGTCTCTCCTGCCTCAGGCCCTCGTGCAAGCTGTTCCATCTGCTAGCACACTGTCCCCTTCCCCTTCACCTAGTTAATGACAGTCAATCCTCGAGTACCTGATGAAGTGGCACTGCCAAACAGACAGACAAAGCCCGTTCCCCTTGCCATTTGCTTCTCCAGCAACCCTGAGTTTGCACTTACTCATTTACTGCCAGACTGTGGGGTCAGTGTCTGCGGGTGGGGTAGGGTGGAGGAAGGCTCGTGGATCTTGCCCCACTTGGAATCCCCTGCGCCCAGCACAGCACCTGGGCTTAACCAACACTCAGTGGCCATCTACTTCCCTAAGTGCAGTAAGAGCTACCAGTTAGAGACCACTGCTGCATGCATGTCCAGGCTGGGCTGGGCTGTGTGTATGTGTGTGTGTGTATAGGATTAAACCATTTAATCCCCTCAAGAATCTTAGGAGTTAGATCTTGTGATCATCACCACTCCACGGATGAGGACACCAAGGCACAGAGAGGCAAAGGGACTTGCCCTGGGTCACACGGCCAAGGAGTGGCAGGGCCAACGACTGGACTCCACCATGATTTGGGGGAGCAGGAATGCGACCCTCTCTGAAAGGGGCAGGTTGCACCTTCCACCTTCTCAGCGCTATGCTCTGGGAACACCTGTGCTCCCCAGCCCCGCGCAAGCTGTGCATCCGGAGGTATTCTCCGGAGCGGCAGCAGGAGGCAGCAGAGAGCCCGCAGCGAGGATTCTATCGGTTCAGACGGGCAAGCACAAAGTAGGGCGCATATAAGGACTTGTTACTACTACTAGTAGTACTGTTGTTGTGGTTATTGCTAGGGACTCCCTGACCATGTTCCGGTTCAACTAGCCAGCTCTGAGCACACTGGGTTTCCTCTCCCTGACTCTGATCAGCCTGTGCCCCCAAAAGGATGTGCGATCAGGATCTGACAAGTGCCAGGCAAGAGACGGGGCCAAGATGGGCAAGATCCTGAGGGCATCCTCCCGGAAGGGCAAACAGGCTCAGGGAAGGGGCGTGACTGCCCCGGTCTATCTGTGGGGCACTGCCTGGGTTGAGCTGGTTCCCGAGCTGGATGGGGAGAGAAAGGCAAGGAAATTCGGGGATGGGGACGGAGAAAGGCAGAGGCGGGGCAGGCCGGAGGGTCTGAAGCACCGTACCTGCGGGTCGGGCGTCGGGGGCCCGGGCGGGAGGCCCCGGGGTCTCCAGCGCAGGCGAGACGGAGAAGCGGGAGAAGCACAGGGGGGGGCCGGGTGGGGGGAGGAGGGGGAAATCCTCCGCCCATTCGAAACTGCCTCCTAGGGGTGGGGGATGGTGAGGAAAGAAGAGGGGAGGACGCGGTCAGACCCTCCGGCACTTCTCGAGCCGCTTTTAGCTGTAGACCCTCCTCAGGCACCTACATCACGCCGTCTACACCATGGGCGGCGCCTCAACACCCCGCCCCGCCCATTCAGCCCCCGCCCCCTGACCTGGCCTCACCACTGTCCTCCTCCAGACCCTGCCTCTCTCTTGCCCTCCAGACCGCGCCCCCACCGGGCCCCGCCCCATCTCTGCCCCGCCTCTCTCTTCCCCTCCAGGCCCCGCCCAGACCCCCGCCCCCATCGGGCCCCGCCCCTCCTCTCTTCCCCGGCAGGCCCCGCCCCATCGGGGCCCGCCCCATCTCTGCCCCGCCTCCAGACCCTGTCTTGTCTCTCTCTTCCCCTCCAGCACCTCGCTTCACCTCGGCCCCCTCCAGGCCCCCCTCAGCCCCTTACCAAAGCCGCTGTCGTTGCTGGGAAACCCATCTCCGGGGGTGGCGGGGTGGGGAGGCGTCGGGGGCGCTGGAGGCGTTGACGGGTCCGTGTCCCCCTCGGGGGGGCCCTGGACGCTCAGCTCGTTGGTTGGCGTCTCCTAAGGAAGTGGATTAGGGGGCGCACCGTCACATCCCATCCACTGTATTCCCAACGGGCAACACAGCCTGCTAACGCTTCTGGGGCTTCGGGGACCCCAATTTACAATCGCAGTCTCTCAGAAGGCGGTTGGAGCCCCTGATCTGCCTTGGAAACCTCAGATCATCCCTTAAATCCACCCGAGGCTCCTCCCTCGACCGCGGACTCCCGCCCACAGCTAAGTCCCCCGCCGCGGGAATTCTCTCCTTGCTTCTTTAGGCGACGCTTCCACGGGAGCCCCCTAACCCAACACCATCTCCATAAGCCCCGCCTTGTCTCCATTGACCCCTAACTACCGATATCTCGGCCGCAGGAGTCCGAGTTCAGGGCGCGGAACTACGGCCCCGACGGTCCTCCACACCCCCACCCCATCCTGCGCCTTCGACCCCCCCCCCCGACCCAGCCCCTGAGCCCTGCCCTCTGAAGTCGCCCCGCTCCAGCCCTCCACCTCCCACCCCCGTCCGTTTGCTTAGTGGCCCGGGCCAGCCTCATCTTAGGACCTCAGCCCGGTGCGCCCCCTCCAGGTCCACCTGGACCCATCCACACCCGTCTAGCCCCCGTCCACAAGCATCATCCCGCCCTTTCCTCTTCCTTTTCAACACCATCCTCTCAGCCCTCGTTACTCCTCGCACGATCCTCAACCCACGCTCTGGGTCCCGCCACAGTTCATGAGCTCTGTCCATCTCTGAACCCGCTCCTGAACTTAGTATCGGAACCCCAAGCCGCGTCTCTTCAGCCCTACCTGCAGCCTCGCCAAGGCCCGCCCCAGTGGGTAAAATCCGCTGCCTCCCGAGCGCTGGAGCGCGGGTGGGCGGACCCCGCCCCAAACTCCGCTTGGCCCCGCCCCAAACCACGCCCCAATTCTCTCAGCACTTTCTCCGAGCCTCTCCGGGCTCCGCCCTCACTAGCAGGTATCTCCCTCCCACCCCTAGCCTTCCAGCACCCTCCCCACAGGCCGCACCCTACCCCTCACTCCAGGCCCCAAGTCCGGTCCAGGTCCCCCCGCCACACTCCCCCCCCCCCCCGGCCCCGACCTCCCCAGGATGGCTCCTCCTCCCCCAGACCCCGCCCCAACCTGCCCCGCCCCGCGGCCGCGCACCTGGTCGAAGAGGTAGACGGTCACGTCCCCGTGGAAGGAGACCATCTTGCGCTTCCTCTCCAGCTCGCTGTCCTCGGGCTCGTCGGCCCCGCGCGGAGACTTGAGCAGCCCCCGCAACGGGCGGGCCGCGTCCGCGTCGGCGCTGCTCACCACGACGGGCACCGGGGCTGCCCGCGCCCTCCCGGGGCCCCGCGGCCCCGCCGCCGCGCCCGACGCTGATGCCTCCTCGTCCTCCTCCTCGTCCTCGTCCTCGTCCTCCCCGTCCTCCTCCGCTGGCCCCGGCGCCCCCGCCCCGCCGGCCTCCCCGCCAGCCGCCCCGGCGTCCGCGCCCTCCCACGGGGGTCGCCGCGGGCCCGGCCCCGGGAACGGCGTGAGCGTGAGCGGCGGCAGCGCCAGAGAGAGCCGCGAGAGCTTGGCTGCGAGGGGAGAGACCCGGTGAGCCCCTGCTCCCGGGGAAACTGAGGCATGCCCTCCTGCCCCGCTGTGTGTCCTCAGGTCATCTCAGGCCACAGTATGGGCCTCAGTTTCCCCTCTTGTGAACCCAAGGGCTGCTCCGGGGCCTTTCTCCACGCAGAGTAGGAGATTTCTTCCCCCTACACCAGGGGTTAACCCTCTCCACGACTCCCCAGAGTCCACATCACAAAGCCCCAACTTCTCTCTGCCACCCACCAGGCCCGAGTGCCCTGACCCTGCTGACCTCTCCAGGCTCTGTTCCCCAACTCATTCTGACTTGACCTCCAGCCAGTCACTTGGGCCACCTCCCTGTTCCTCCCACCTCTGAGCCTTTGCTTAGGCTGTTCCTTCTGCCTGGAACTTCCTTTCCTAATTCAAGTCCTATTCACCCCCTTCCTGTCTGGACTTTCCAGCCTTCAGGGCCCTCCCAGAAGGTCACCCGCTCTGCACCCCACAGCACCAAGCACGGCTCCTTCCAAGCAGCTGATCTCAGTGTGTAACTGTCCTTCTGTGGCAACGTGATTCGTGTTTGCCTTGCCACAGAGCAGACTTGACTTGGCCTCCTGCTGGCTGCATCCCCAGCATGTAGAAGTACTCAGGCAATATTCGTGGGATTAATGAATGAATGTTCCCTGCTATGTGATGTTGACCAAGGTCCTCTCCCTCTCTGGCCCTCAACTGCCAGATAAAATTGGGGCGTCAAACCATCTCCAGGGTTAGACGCCCCAAAGCCTCTCTGATCTCAGCTTGCCGGAAGGTAAGGACTCCAGGTCCCTGGAGGAGGAAACCTGGCTTCAAATCCCAAGCCTACCCTGCTGGCTTGCTGTGTGCCCAGGGGCAAGTAAATCCACCTCTTTGTGTCTCTGTCTCTTCACTAGTAGATTAAGAGGGGCCACTCATCCCTCCCTTAATGTATGGGAACAATGGTGGGGATGACAGGAGGGTCAGGGCAGAGCGGGGAGAAAGACTGGATGTGGATCGGGTCACTCTCCTCCCTTCATTCACTCCATTCCAGCTTCACTGGCCTTCTGCTGTTCCCCGAGCATGCCAAGATAGTGCCCATCTCAGCGCCCTCCACCCGAAACACCCTTCCCCCAGATATCCACCCAGCTTACTTCCTTCACATCTGCTCAAAAGTCACCTCCTTGAGGCCTTCCTTGACCATCCATCTCAGGGCGATGGGGTTGGGGGCTGTGGGAGCTCTCAAGGAGCTCTCAGGAAGGACAGGGTGATAGCCTTTGGAAATCAGGAAGGCTTCCCAGGGAAGGGGAAATTTGAGTGGGGTCTTGAAGGATGAATAGGAGTTCATGCATTTTTTTTTTTAAAGCAGGCTATTCCCAGCATCTTCCCACCCAACCACACCCTCCCCGCCTCCCCCCACAATCCTCTGAGGCATCTTAGCTGCTCATCCCCTGACATTTTCATGCTGTCTGGGGCCTTCCCTGACAGCTGGTTGCAAATTCTCCACATCAATCTCAAGGAAGTGATAGTGTCCTAATACCATGGGCTGTAAGGATGGAAAATTCTGTGCCCAGCCCCATTCCTGACCTCTCCCTCCTGAGCTGCAGGCTTCTCTGGCAAACAGAGATGATAACCTTTTCCTCAATGGGGGCTGTGAGATTGCCAGTAAAAACCAGGGCCCAGTCCTTTATAACTTTCATACCACTACTTAAGGCCTCTGGGTGATTCTGGTGGAGCTACAGAGCCTGTGTCCCCATCTGAACAGGGGCCATTTAGCTTTCTCTTAAGTCTACCCCCCTCTGTGACAAAAACACTTTCTGTGTTCCTACCAAAACTCAGTTTCAGAAGACATTTCTACAGTTTTCAGGTCACTGATACCATGGTTGGCCGGGGTGGGGGTGGGGTGTCTGAAGCTCCCCAGGTCCCAGTTTGGGGCAGCTCAGGGCCTGGCACACAGGAGGCCTGGCACACTGCATGGATGCCTCCACTTGTTGGCAAGTTTAAACCAGAGATCACACGCTGGCCGCCCAGCCCACAGAGAAGGTCCGTGTGAATCGGCTTCAGCCATTAAAACACGCAGAACTCTGGTTTAAAAGGGAAAAGCAGCACATTTGGCAACGCCAGGTGGGCAGTCCTGACTGGGGCTGCATTTCCTTCCCCAACTCCCACCCCGCCACTCCCAGACGACGTCATTCATTTCCCAATACTATCTGGCCCCCGTGGTCCTCTGAGTTTGAGACCCAGGGTCTAATGGAATTGGGATCAAAGCAGGCGCTTGGGTGTGCCAGGCTGTGCTAGAGGCTTCAGAAGTCCTAACCTTCTCAAGCCTCTCTGCCCTATTAGGCAGGTGCTATCCTCATCATCCATTTTTGGCGGGAAACCGAGGCACAGATATGTAAGGTCACTTGTCCAGGGCCACAGGGCTAGAGAAGGGGCAGAGCCAGGATCTGAGCCCAGGCGGTGGGGCTCCAGGGTCTGTGCTCACTATTGCCAGCCTGACCCGTCTGCTCCCCGGAAGCCTGAGACTCTCAGCTCAACTGTACGTCTCGGAAGGAGCCAGGCCTTGGCCCCCAACCTCGCTCCCCTTGCTCCCAACAGCCTCCTCACCTTTGATCTGCTCGCTGTTCCCCTGAGGAGGTCCCAAGTCCAAGAACAGTCGTGGCATCTCGGGGCCCTTCCTCTCGGGTTGGGGGGGGTCCCCGTCTGTGCTGGGTGCTGTGTCTCCGCCGGCCCTGCTGTCTGGGGCCCCGGGCTCTCCCTCGGATGCCACCTCCGGCCTGGCTCTCTGGGGCGCTGGCTCCGGCCTCCTCGGCTGTGCCTCCGGCGGTGGCGGCGGTGGCGGCTGTGGCCTCGTGCTGTCTGCCCATCCGGCCTTTGCGTCCACGCCGCTTCCGAGGCCGCCGCCGGGGGCCATCCCCGTGCCCGCTGGGGCTCGGCCCCCACTCCCGAGGTCCGGCCTCCCAACCCCGGGGGCTCTCGGTGCCCCCCCAGTCTCGGGGGCTCTCCTCTCGGTCCCGGGCTCCAGCACCCCGCTCTTGGGGGCTGGGCCAGTGGGGCCAGGGACTGTCTCCCCGCCGTTCCGGGACAAGGCCACTGCGCCGGGCTCGGGGGCTCTCTCCAGCAAGGTCTCTGGGGCTGGCACCCCACTCTCGGGTGCCTTCTCCCAGGGCCCTGGGGCTCTCCGAGGCCCAGTCTCCGGTAGCCTCTCCATGTTCCTGGGGGGTCTCAGGCCCCCATCCTCTGACACCTTCTTCTCGATCTTTGAGGCTGTCAGTCCCCCATTCACCAGCACTTTCTCTTCTCTCTCGGGGGACCTCAGCTCCCCATTCTCCAACACTTTCTCCTCCCTCCTTGGGGGTGTCACCTCCCCATTCTCCAGCACTTTCTCCGGCACTTTCTCTTCTCTCTCGGGAGTCCCGGGGGCCCCATTCTCCGCCACCTTCTCCTCGATGTCCGGGGCTCTCTGGCCCCCGTTCTGCACCGTCACCCCGTTCATGGGGAGGCTCGGCTCCTCGTTCGGGCTTGGGGCTTTCTTCCCGCTGCCCAGGACTGTGGGGTCCCTGCTCGGGCCCTGGACTTTCTCTCTGTTCCCGGGGCCTCTCCCCACCTTCCTGGGTCCCGTCTCTCGGGGGTTTGCCCCCTTCTCCCCCAGGAGGTTCCTTGTCACATCCTCCCGCAGGGACATCAGGAGCTGCTCGGTGCTCACTTGAACTACAAAGGTCGGCTTCTCCCGGGTCCCCGGCAGTGGGTGGGGACCCGGGTCTGGGGGTGGCCGGGGCGCTCCCGGGTCGGGGGGCTCGGGGGGAGCCCGCGGTCGAGGGACCCCTTCCTCCTCGGCTGCCCCCCCGCCGGGGAAGGCTCCCTCGGGGGAAAAAGGGGTCTCGGTCTCGTAGCCGCTGTCCCCCGGCTTGGGGCCCGGAGATGACAGGCCGGAGCCGGGACTGGCCACGGCCGAGGGAGGGTCGGGGGACACGGCTGGGTCCGCGGGGGCCCGGGGAGGTGGCGGCGGGGGGGGGGGAGCGGGAGGTGGCCCCCGCCCGGGGTACTGGGGCGCCGCCGCCCCCATGAGGGGGTCCAGAAACTCGGGGGGGGCCGAGGCGGGGGGGGCCAGGGGCAGGTCGGCTAGGGAGCCCCGCTCTGCCCGCAGGGACGAGTCGTCCTCGGGGGGATGTGGGCAGCCAAGAGCGGGGTGGCCCCCCCAGCCAGCCACTGCGTCCCCCCGCTCCAGGGGCAGACAGGAGCAGGCCCCCTCCCGGCTGCACAGGGGACAGGGCAGTGGGCCCCGGCGGCTGGGGCCACCCCCGAGGCTGCTGCTGTCCTCCCCCGGGGAGCTGCCCTCCTCCTCCTCCTCCTCCTCCTCTGCCCATGGGGCAGTACCCCGCTCCCCCAGCACCTCGGCGGGGTCTCCCGCCAGGGTCTCCCCGGCACCTCGGCCCTCGGGGTCCCAGCCGCTCAGGAGGAAGCTGCCTGATGCCGAGGACTGGGCGGGGAAGGGCCGGGCCGCAGGGAAGAGGGGGGAGGCCCAGGTCTCGGACACCAGCTGGGGCACCTCGGAAGGGGCCTGGGAGGCCTGGGGGGCAGGCACTCCTGGGTCCAGGGGGTCCCAGTCATTGGGGAAGAGGGGCTCAGGCGGGGAGCCGTGCTCCTCAAGGCGGATGTAGTACTCGCTGCTCACAGAGGGGCTGCGGGCGCTGATGACGGGCAGCACGCTGGGCGTGGACAGAGCCTCGTAGAAAGGGTTGGATGGGTTGGCATGGGGGGCCGGGGGTGCAGACGCCGGCTGCCAGGGGGGCGCTCCCCCACCGCGGCCAGCTCCCCGGCGTGCCTTCTCCCACAGGCATTCGAGGTTGAGGCCACGGCTGCTCTCAGTGACCGTGAGCACATCGTCTGGGTCAGCCCCGGGAAAGCCATCCAGGAGGGGGAATGGTGAGGAGAGGGTGCCTGGGCGGGGCGCGCTGTGCTGCGGGGGCCAGGGCCAGGGGAAGGGACCGTCTCGGGGTGGGGGGGGGTGGGGGCGGGGGCCGTGGGGGTCGCTCAGAGAGCAGGTAGGTGAGTTGCAGTTGGAGATCGGAAGCTGAAGGGCGCTGGGCGGGTGGCCGCCAGCAGGACTGCAGGATATCGTACCTGGGGGACAGGGAGGAGGCACAGGTGAGAACAGAAGAGTCCCTGTGTGTGTGTGGGTGTGTGCATGCACACGTGTGTGGAGGGGTCACTGGGGTCAGGGGAGACCCAGAGGGGGAAGAGGACTGATATCTCAAGGGAGGCGGACAGAGAGGAAGATCAAGACCCAGAGAGACGAGGACAGAGCCCCAGGGTTTGTGTGTGACAGAGATGCGGCAGCGGGAGGGGTGGGGTGGTGAAAAACGGGGTACAGCAAGGCAGATGTAAGGGGATGATGGTTAGATGGTCTTCCTCTCTGGGCTGTTTGCTCTGGAATCAGAGATAAGCAAGCAGCAGGGGTTTTGCTGGAGTGGAGAGACTAGGGTTCCCGAACCAGCGCTGCAGCTCCCCAACTGTTTCACCCCTTCCAAGCAGCAAAAGGAGTGGGGACATCCGCGCTCCACTCTAGGGATTGTGGCGAGTGCTGAGTGAGATTGTGGGTGGTGTGCCAAGAGGTGAGGGACTTTGGGACATCCTGGGATGGGATGGGATGGGATGGGAAGGTCAGGGGTCGGGGGTCAGGCTCTGCCCTCACCAGTAGTCGGCATAGGGCAGCTTGAGCCTCGGCCGGGCCAGCTTGACATGCTGCTGGCGGACCACGAAGGCGAGGACCTCCTCGTCTGACAGGTGGCGGTAGGGCTGAGCCCCAAACTCAAAGAGCTCCCACAGGGTCACCCCCAGGGACCTGCGGGGAGCAGAGGGAGGAGAGAGGTCAGAACCCTGCCCTGCCCCGCCTGGGGGCCTCTCTTCCAGCCTCTGTTTCCGCAGCCGGGAACCGTGACCCTTCTTCCACCTTCCTCGCCGCCCCGGCCCCGCGCAGCCGGCAGTGGGGGGCCCCCTCACCAGATGTTGCTCTCGCGGCTCTGGTCCACCACCATGAAGGTCCCGTGCAGCTCCCCGAGGAGCTCGGGCGCCGCCCAGCGCAGCGGGATCCACAGGCGCTCGGGGGTCAGGTAGTAGTCCTCCTGGGGGGCGCGCCGGAGCGGGGTCAGGCGGGTGGGGGCCCTCCCCCCGCCCCCCGCCCTGATGGAGGGCGGCCCCCACCTTGTAGTTGCTGTGGGCCAGCCCGTAGTCTCCGATGCGCACGGTGAGGTCGGAGGTCAGCAGGCAGTTGCGCAGGGCCAGGTCGCTGGGGGCGGGGCAAGGACGTGAGGTGAGGAGGGGGCAGCGGGGCGGGGGGGGATAGCTGCCAGCCCCGCCCACCGCCCACGCCCCGCCCCTCTCCCTTCTTGCCCTTACTCCTCTTCCCCTGCCCTGATTCCTCCGCCTCCCCAAACCTCCTCCTCTCCTGACTCCTCCCTCTCCTCTGTGACCCCTCCCTCTCCCTCTCTCCCCTGTGACTCCTCCCCTCCGGGCCTCCTCCCCTCCCGACTCCGCCCGCGGCTCGTGCTTTCTCCCCAGGGTTGCGCCCCTTCCCTGTGGCCCGACCTCCCACCCCCATAGCCTCGACCCCTCCCTAAGTAGTGCCTCCACCACCCTCTTCCCCGTGGCTCGCGAGAGCCACCTGTGCACGTAGTTGTGGGAGTGGAGATGTGCCAGCCCGCGGGCGATCTCCAGGCCCATCCTCTGCAGTGTCCGCAGGTCTCGAGGGGGCAGCTCAGGGGATAGGCCCTCAGGGGGTCGCTGGGCCCGGAGGTAACGTTTCAGGTCCCCCTGGAAGGAAGGAGGGGTGGGGTCAGGAACCCACACATCCAGCCTGTCTGAGGCGGGGATGGGGGGCGGCCTCTGCACTCAGTGGGCAGCTCCCCTGAGCCTCAGTTTCCCCTGCTGCTTAGAGGGGCCTAACCACAGAAACCCCCTCGCATGCTAGTTCACTGCCGTCTGAGTGAGGGCCCATCTACGGCAAGCGCTCAGGAAAGGTCAGCGCACGTCCCGCGTGTTATTGCCAAAGATTCCGGGGACCCTAGGCTTGCTGGCAGCCCCGCAGCCCGTCCAGCCTCCACCCTGCCCTCCCTCCGCAGACCCTCACCAGTTGACAGAACTCCATAATCAGCAGAAAGGGCAGTGTCTCCACACAGACGCCCAGGCACTGGAGGACGTTGGGGTGCTGCAGGCTCCTGGGACCAGAGTGGGGAGGCGGCAGGGTCAGGAAGCAGCCGCTTTCAGCCCACCACAGACCTTTGTCCCACGCACCCCAGCCTCCAATATGTTGCTCCCACCTCTTTGGTCTCGGTCTCTTCCGCCTCCAGTCTACTGGCCGCACCCCCACACTCAGGCCCCCTCAACACGCACCCTCCCTCTCTCCCCCTCATCTGGAAGGGGGTCAGCCCCACTATCCTCCAGTACCTGGGGGTCCTTGCCCTCCTTCCTCTCCACCTCACCTCTGCTCAGCCCCTTCCCTCCCCACAGCCTGACTGGAGCCTCCTCCTCACCTCCTGGACTCTCTTCTCAGCCTCCTCCCGCCTCCCTGCCTCTGACCTCTCCCTTGTAGTCCGTCTCTGACATGCCACTCGCCTGCTCACAGCCCTTTGTGGCTCCCGCACACCGGGGGACAGAGCAAGGCTCACAGCTGAGTCTTTCCTGCCTTTCCTCACCTTGGCTTCTCGCCTCCTGCCCTGCACATCTCCCCAGACACACAGGCACCCACTTAGGCTCCAGGCCTTTGCACTTACACTTCACTCTGTAAGGAGCCCTCCGCTCAGCAGAGTCTTCCTCATCCCTCGGGCCTCAGCTTCAACATCATTTCCCAAAGAAACATCACTGCCCCAAGCCCCCTCCTTTAGCCTCACACTGTGGGTAATAGTCAGGCTGGAGGGCCAGCAGGAAGGTTGAATCCTGAGTCCACCTTTTTTTTCTTAAAGTCATCTCTACCTCCAGTGTGGGGTTCGAACTCACAACCCCAAGATCAAGAGTCACACACTCTGGGGCACCTGAGTGGCTCAGTGGGTTAAGCACTTGACTCTTGATTTCAGCGATCAAGTGGCAATCTCAGGGGCACAGGTTGGAGGCCCAGGTCAGAGCTCCATGCTGGGCATGGAGGGGGCTTGGGGTTCTCTCTCTCTGTCTCCCTCTGCCCATCTGCACTCATATGCGCTCTCTATATATATAATAAATAAATCTTAGAGGCGCCTGGATGGTTCAGTAGATGAGCGTCTGGCTTTGGCTCCGGTCGTGATCCCGGAAGCCTGGGATTGAGTCCCACATCAGGCTCCCTGAGTCCCACATCAGGCTCCCAAAAGGGAGCCCGCTTCTCCCTCTTACTGTATCTCTGCCTCTCTCTCTGTGTCAATAATAAATAAATAAATAAATCTATCTTAAAAAAAAAAAGTCACATGCTTCACTGACTGAGCCAGCTGGATGCCCCCTGAGCCCCACCTTTGCCATGTGTGAAACCCCAGAGAAATCATTTCACCTCTTCCTGCCTCAATTTTCCTCAGCTGTACAATGGGGACAGCCACAGTCACCCCGCAGCCAGTTGCAGAGAGGAATTTAATGAGACCAGAGAAGAGCCAGCACATAGTGGAAGATCCTCACTATTATTACAGCTTTTATGTGAACATGTTAACATATTGTTTGATTTTCATATCGCCCCACATTCTCCTGCCTTCCCATCTTTGCAGCTGCTCTTCCCTCTGCCTGGTACATGCTTCCCACAATGCTTGCGTGCCAGATCCCTCCCAGTCCACCTCACCTCCCCCCATGATCATCCATAGCTCCCCTCTCTGTCACGTGCTGCCTCACTTCCTCATGGCACCTGCCAGTCTCTGACATTTTCTTCCTTAAATTTCTTTCCTCGTTTATTGCGTGTCTCCTCCACTAGGGGGGGAGCCCCACTAGGACAAGAATTTGGGGCTTTCTGTTCAGGTGCCATGTCCCCGGTGCCTAGACAGGTGCTCAATGAAAATATGCACCATGAAAGACTTTACCCCGATACGAGGCCTGGGGTCTGTAGGAGAATTAAAACATTCCAGACTGGGACACCTGGGTGGCTCAGCGGTAGAGCATCTGCCTTTGACTCAGGGCCTGATCCCAGGGTTTGGGATCAAGTCCCACATTGGGCTCCGGCAGAGAGCCTGCTTCTCCCTCTGTCTATGTCTCTGCCTCTCTCTTTCTCTCTGTCTCTCATGAATGAATAAATAAAATCTTAAAAAAAAAATCCAGGCTTGTACCCAGGGCCTGGCTCAGAGGTAAGTGTGCAGTGAGTTATTTTCCCACTGGGGTCTGGCAGGAGGCAGGGGCTACTCGTGTGCTGTAGGGGCAGTGCCCAAGCTCACTGCCTGTGTCCAACCTTCTCCCCTTGGGACAACAGTGCCTCCAGCTCCTGCCTGGTCGAGGAATCATGAGACAATGTGGTCATAAACCACTGGGCTGTACTGGGGCCTTGCAAAACAGCTGGAGCTCTGAGTGTGGGCTTTAGGATGGGGGATATCAAAGATTGCTTGGATGCACCCCATACCTACCAATCTGAGCCAAGGTTGGCCGCTTCTGCTATCAAACCCTCCCAGAACCTTGCTGGGCAGGATGATGTTCCCCATTTAATCCAGAGGAAACAGAGGCTCAGAGACATAAAGCGATTCACCCCGGGCCACACAGCTGGTAACCGTGGCAGAGTGGGGACTTGAGCCCAGGTTTCTGGCTCGCTCAGCAAACGTCTGCAAAGGGCAGACCCCCCGAGCTGCCAGTGTGGTCCTGAGCTCTCCGAGAGAACTTTCTGTGAGAATTTCTGTGGGAATGTTCTAGATCTGAGCTGTCTAACATGGGAGCCACTGGCCATCTGTGGCTACTAAGCAATTGAAATGTGGTGCATGTAGCTGAGGCAATGAATTTTTCATTTGATTTCATTTTACTTAACATAAATTTAAATAGCCATATGTGGCTAGTGGTTGCCAGGATGGGTCTAGGGAGAGGCAGGCAAATAAGCAAGTAAACAGATGAAATATGTGTTACGAAGAAAATGCACGAATTGGTGTGATGGAGCCTCCCAGGGCCCTCCTTACGTGGAGTGTGTGTGTGTGTGTGTGTGTGTGTGTGTGTGTGTGTTTGTAAGGGAAGGCCTTTCTGACCAGAGACCTGAGGAGGGGAAGGGAGCCCACTGTCTGGAGCCAGGGGTGGATGAGCCAGGAATATTCTAGATAGAAGGAACAGTAAGGACAAAGGTCCTGAGGCAGGAAAGAGACTGTTATGGGAAAGGATCAGCGAAGAGGCCAGGATGGCTAGGCCAAGGAGCCCAGTGGCAGGAAAGGAACAGAGCCAGGCCTTGCAGGGAGTGTGGGCTATACAGAGGAGTGGAACTTTGTCCTGCTGGCAACAGGGAGCCATGGGAGGCTTTAGAGCATGAGGGTGATAAAGTCCAGTGTCTGTATCTCTCAGGGTATACCCACTTTTAAAATCATTTGAAAAGGGTTCTCCGTATACAGATCCTTTCCACGACAGGGCAATTACTACCTCAGGAGGCGTTTATGTAGCAAGTGTTTACCTAGTTCTTGCCTAGAAGTCCTTAGAGCAGAGGGGAGACCAAGCAGGGGAGGGACAGGGTCCTGCCTTCCCAGACCTAACAGCCCAGTAGGATGTTTGGGCTTCCTGGACTCACTTCCTAGATGAAGATTCTGAGGTTCAGGATGGAGAGGGGCAGGCCTCTAGCTCAGCTTCTGTGCCCTTCCCATCACCCTTGTCACACTGCCCCTCATTTCATGTCCCTGGCTCACGGTACTGAGGAGGAACCCAAGGCTTGAGGCTCAGAGAGGCAAATTCTGTCCGCCAAGTCACACAGCCAGGAAGAAGTAGATCCAGGATTCAAACCAGGTTTAACTCCATGCTCTACTCCTCCCACTCCCCCCACTCCCAAATGTCACCTCCCTGAGGTGCAAACCTCCCATCTTTGGGCCTCCACGGCCCTCATCTGCTGAGAAGCCCCCGATACCTGTAGGGCTGCGCTTCTGAGATGAACTTGCGCTGCTCCAGGGGCCCCGCGCTGGCTCGGAGCTCCTTTACCACCACTTGGGCTGGGGTGTAGTCGGAGAATATCTCTCCCAGGATCACCTGGTCAAGGGGGAACCAGAGAGTCAGCGCAGTTGACTGTTTCCCCAGCCCAGGCCCCAGGACCACCTCCACCCCACTGCGTGGCTTCAACTCCCCCCACTTCTTGCCAGCCTCTCCCTCCAGATCCCACCACCCTTGTCATCCCCCCTCCCCCATCAGACGCAGAGTGAGAGACTCACGGGCCCAGAGTCCGATGGATGCAGGGACGGATGGAAGGATGGACAGACGGACGCGTGGAGAGCCAGGTGGCGAGGCAGAGTGGTCAATGGAGTGAGGAGGGAGGCGCTGACTGACAGATGTAGGGGGGTTGGGGTAGGTGGGAGTAGGTGAGGGGCGGACAGAGGTGAGGGTGCTGGGGGGCTGAAGGGCAGGGGACAGATGAGAAGTGCTGGGAGCAGGGAGGGGATGGACACAGAACAGGAGCACAGCCCTGGATTGTATGGATCCCCCTCCCTCCCAGCCCCAGCCCCACTCACCTTCCCAAACCAGCCACTCCCAATCTCTTGCAAGTAGCTGAGATGCTGGCGGCTAAGGCCCAGGGGGGTGGTCATATCTGGGAGGAGGTGGAGGAGGGCAAAAAGGGGAGGTCCCTTAACCTCTCTTCCCCTCCCAAGTGCCACTGACACCCCCAAACCGCCCCCCCTCCGCCAATTCAGTGGCACCTGGGGGGGGGGTCAAAGCAGATACCAGTCTCTTTTCATTGGCTGCCCCCAAATTCCCTGATGGATCTCAGCCTCCTCATTGGCTGCCCTCAAGTTCCCAGCATCCAACCCATCCTTCCCTTTGGCGTTTCAAGATCCTGTGACCTGACTTCAGCCTGCCATTGGCTGCCTCTGAGACTGAGATCTAGGCTGACCTCACCACTCACTACCCCGTAGGAATCCCCGAATCTGGCTGTGGATTAAGCAGTGGCTTTCCTGGAGATGATCTCTGACTCCCTTTTGGCCGCCTCCAGGATTCTGTGGCTCCCACCTCTGCCTTTCCCCTTGGCTGCGGGCCCCCCTCAGCTCCCTGGCCCCCCGAGGGAAGACTCTCCCGTGGGGGCGTGGGATCCTAGTCTAGGCGTGGAGAGTACCTGAGTGTGAAGGCTGCGGGGCAGGCATCGGCAGGGAGACCTCAGCCAGCGGAAGAATGTAGACATCGGGCAGCGACTGTGAGGAGGAGGTCTCCTCCGCCGGGGGAGTGTACTCCCCGGAGCAATCCTCCCCTTCAGGGTTCTCAAACTCCTGGGGGCCGGGAGAGGTGAGGGGTGGGAGAACACAGTGCTGAGACACGCCATCATCCTTTTCATCCGTGTGTCTCCCCGTCTTTCTTATAACTGTTCCCCGATCTGCATCCCAAGACTCCAGATCTTGCCAGAACTTCAGGCTGGAAGGTGCTGCCAGACTTACTGCCCCTCTCCCCCACCAGCTACCTGGGTTGAGGGGCAAAGGAGGCTTCTTGGAGTCTTCCTCCCCACCTGAGTCCCCATGCACCTCACCTTGAAGCCGACATCACCCCGTTTGCAACACAGACAGGTGAGGAGGAGAAAGATGAAGGCCAACAGGCCGGAGCAGGAAATGAGGACCACGGCGTAGGGAGGAGCCAGAGGGGCCCGGCCCAGGGCGAATCCATCTGTGGGCACAGGACTGGGCTGGGGTCCCGGCTTCTAGCCCCAAGCTCCCAGACTCCATCCTGGCCCCCACCCCTCCCATCCTGGCCAGGATTGACTACAACTCCCACAATGCCCTGCAACCAGGGTCTCCTTGGCAGAGGAGCCGGATGGCCCAGGGCATTGTGGGAGTTGTAGTTTGAGGCCTTCTCAGGTGGTTGGGTTGGGGGTGGGGTCCCTCCTCTCACCCCAAGCTAGGACCCCCCCCCCCATCACTTCACCGCAGGCTTGGATGAATTCCAGTGAGGACTGAGGGAAGGAAGTGTAATAGTGGAGCCTGGTGCTCTCAGAATTTAAAATACGCTCCAACGGGGAGTCTCATTACCCCCTATTTGGGCAAGAGGATGAGCCCCCCAGCTGCAGGCGGGGAGAAGATTCCTGCCCCACGCTGGATCCCTCTAGTTACGGAGGTTGAGGCCTGTCTCTTTTAGGGACTGGTGGAGTACACACACGTCCTCCGTCCCCAGCCCAAGCCCCTGAGAAGGGAACTCCGCAAGCCCTGGGTCTCCCCCAAAGCTGGAGGCAGCCTCCTATGCTGTGTCCCCCTTAGAAATAGTATTCCTCCCCTCTGCCCCCAATTCTCCCAGAGGCCCCATCCTTCCTGGGCTCCCTGCACACACCTGCACGCACACATGCGTGTGCACACACACATGTTGCCCAAACGGACCCCCTCCCCACCCAGCCCCCAGCCTTCCTCCCACAGGCCCTGCTGACAGAGGCACCGTCGCCGCGGCTGCCCGGGCCCTGGCTCCGCTGCGGGGAGACGCGCACGCAGGTGATGGTGGAGCCGGAGCGCCGCGGACCGACCCCTGGGCAGGCCGGGGTGGGGGTGGGGGGCCGCCGGACAGCCGGATGGCCAGACAGACTCACCGGGGTGGGCCGGGGACGCCAGGCAGCCGGAGGCGGAGACGGCCGCGAGGAGGATGAGGGCGCCGGGGGCAGGCATCTTGTCGAGGATGGAAGGGAGGTGGAGGTGGTGGCGGCTGGGGAGGAGGGGGGGGCGGGCCCTCAGCCCCCAGCCATGGGGACCCGCGCGACCCTGGCCTCCCCCCGGCCCAGGAGAGGGGCAGGAGACGCAGGACAGGGGGAGGGAGGGGCTGCTTACTGGCTCAGGTACCCCCCTCCCCCTCTTTGAAGGGACAGACAGATGAAGGGATGGAGAGGCGGACAGAGGAGAGGAGCTGGGGAGCCGGGGTTGCTGGGGTGGGGGGGAGAGGGTAGGATGGGGGGGGAGAATGAGGGCCCCGCCCCCGAGGGCAGCCAGGATTGGGGGAGCAGAGAGCCTGTCAGAGGAAGGGTGGGAGGAGGGAGGATGGAGGGAGGATGGAGCGTCGTCATGGCAACTGGCTCCCCAGTAGCATTGGCTGCCAGGAGGGAGGGGAGGAGGAGGGACAGACAGGGACCAGCAGACCCTTGTGGGGGGGGCACAGGGCCCACAGTGCCTGGCCCGGGCACTACTGTGACACGCCACCAGCACGGACACGTGTGCTCCACGCCAAGATGCAGATGCCAGGCACACGCAGCCCACACATGCCTGACACACGTCGCAGAGACCCTCATAGACAAGCACATCACATACAAAGGTGGACAGCCATCGGCAGACGGGGACACGTACACGTCACACACAAAGACGCAGGGACGACGGGCTGCACTGGGTACGTACAGGCAGGCCGGCCCCCGGCACAGATGCACCCTGTCACACAGGAACAGCAAAGCATCACAAAGACCCACACCTGCCACAAAGTAAAGCCCCGAATACACAGACACCCACCCCACAAAGATTCACGCGGACACCACGGGGACATGCTGAGGCACACAGTCACAACACACAGACATCTTGCACATGGGCAACAAAGGACACTAGCAGACACCAGCATGACATACACGGATACACAGACTCTCACACCACACACATACACACAGACATCACTTTCACAGAGACAGACACACACATGACATGCACTAACATAGATACACCTATCACACGCACGAATATCCACAGACACACAGTGGGTGCATGGAGAGACATGTATGTCACCAACACGAAAACACACACAACACACACATATTCACAGGTACTTAAAGGACACACACGGCTCTCACACACACCCACGCTTGACTTACCTGAACGCATGGACACATGTCACATACCCAGATACACATCAACCATCAGAACTGGATACATGGATATAGACACAACACATTCAAAGAATTACACATGCATACGAAGCTACACAAATCACAGGCAAAAATACCCATAAGTAACATCATACGCGGACACACACAGACACATATCGTTTCTAAGTATACTCAGTCATCTGCATTATACATAAACACACAGACACACAACACAGACAGATCCACACATCACATACTTAAGCACATGGACAGACCCATTGCAAATATGCACACATTTTATACAAGGTCACAAAGACACCTTGCCCATCATTTCCACACATCACATACATAAATACACCCAGGGACACACAACACCTACCAAGATGCAGACATGCACTACACCTACAAACACGCACGCATCACAAATACCCACATTTCCTACGAGGTTACGCAGCCATGACATAGCCAGAGACGCTTGCTTCATACAAAAGATACATAATCATAGTTTACTTTATTTATTTATTCTTCTGAGCATTTACTCTGCGCCGGCAGCGTTCTCGGCGCTTTACACAACAGCCCTCTGAGGCAGGTGCTTTTATCATCCCCATCGTACAGATGAGGAAACTGAGTCAGGCGAGGTGCGGTCACCTGCCCCAAGGCACACAGCAGGGAAGTGGCAGAGCTGGGGACTGGAACTCGGTCCGACAGGGACACAGACAAAACAGACAAGGACGCACACGTCACGTGCCAGGCCGCCGCCGTCGGGGGGTTCGCACCCCACCCCACAGCACCCCGAGCTGCAGACACACCGGAAGCACCGACTCCCACCCTGCGCGCGGACGTCCCCGCGGTCCGTGAGCACCTGCGATGCGTCCCTCCCGCGCGAGGCCAGGCCGGAGCTGCGCAGCCCAGACGCAGCCTCCCAGCGCACCCGCGGCGGCGACCCGGGCCCCCCTCCCCTGCGCGCCAGCCCCGCCCCCGCCCCCCAGCGGGGGTTCCAAGGCTCTCCCCACCCAGGGGCGCGGCAGGGACGCGCGGCTCACGCACCCCGCGGCGCACAGCCCTCCCCATGGGGGTGGGGGAGGGGCTGCCTCTCGGGGTCTCGCTGGGGAAACTGAGGCAGGTTCATCGCGCGAGGAGGGGTGGGGGTTAGAGGGCGCCGGGACCACCCCCGGAAGGTGAACTGACCAGGTGCGGGTAGAGAGACGGAAACTGGGGGCTGGGGAGGGCGCTCTGAAGTTGCAATTAACTGCCCCGGCGGCTGAAGGGCACCGAACCTGGCGAGAGCAGGGGCTCATGGGAAGTGTAGTCCCAGCCCTGAGACTTGTGGGAAATGTAGTTCTGGCTCCGCCAGAAGGGCGGCTCGGGTCCATCGCCTCCGGGAGAGGAAGCAGGAGCAGGAGCCGGCGGCTGGCCGCCTGGATCGTTGGGGACAAGGTGGACAGAATTTTTGAGTCCTAGAGAACGGCAGCTACGGGGTTGCAGTCCCAACTCTGTCTCCGGCTCACTCTTCATTTATTCACGCCACAAACGTTTATTCAATGCCTACTATGTACTGAGCCCGGCCCTTGGCCAGAGTTTGGGCTTGTGGGAAGGAATGAGTCAAATCTGTCCTCTGCCCTTCAGAGAGAGGGTCGTCACAGGGGCTTTCAGAAGGTCCCCCAGAGTTTTTCAGACTGTGAGCCATTACTGCGATGTGACATCAAGCTTGTGGCTCATGCCCAGAGTTTTGCTGGGAAATGAAATAGAATAAGCTAGAACATAAGCAGAGTGCCTTGACTGCGTGGGGGAAATATCCATGCATGGGATTTTAGTTTCTGACAGGTCTCTTATCCGAAACCCCGGGGCCAGGTGTGTTCTGGATTTGGGAATTTTGAGATTTTGATAAGACCGTAGAAATATACGCGGTATGTTCCGAACAGCCTCAGTGCGGTCGGGGGTAGGGCTGCCATCACTTTAATATTTCCGTGATGAAATCTGTGGACAGCCCCACTGACAGGGAGAAATAATTTAAGATCGTGTATCTGTTTAGGTTGAATTCTGTCTCCAAACTGATTATCAAACTTTCTGGTGTGGGAGCTTTATTGATTTCAAAACCACAGATGTGGGATCCCTGGGTGGCAGCGGTTTAGCGCCTGCCTTTGGCCCAGTGCGCGATCCTGGAGACCCGGGATCGAATCCCACGTCGGGCTCCCAGTACATGGAGCCTGCTTCTCCCTCTGCCTGTGTCTCTGCCTCTCTCTCTCTGTGTGACTATCATAAATAAATAAAAATTAAAAAACAAAAACAAAACCACGAATGGCAGGACACTTCCCACTTTAGGAAGTACACTTCCCAAAGTGTGGTTCAGAGTTCCCTGGGGGTCCCCAAGAGCCTGTCAGGGAATCCAAGAAATCAAAATTGTTTTCTTTTTCTTTCTTTCTTTTTTTTTTTTTTTACAATTTATTTTTTTAGTAATCTCTACACCCTACATGGGGCTCAAACTCATGACCCCAAGATCAAGAGTCGCATGCTCTAGCGATTGAGCCAGGCAGGCGCCCCCTAGTATGAAAATTACTTTCATTCTAACACTGACACATTACCTGCCTTTCTCACTCACTCTCTGATGAGTGTACCCTGGATTTTTCCAGAAGCCACACAGCGTGCAGTATCGTGGTAGAATACGTATCACAAGATCACAAGTAGGTTCAAGGTACAAATCTTCTATTGAGCCAAGCATTACAGATATACTTGCAAAACGGTAAAAAAAAAAAAAAAAAACAATGCCACTCTTCTCACTAACTTCATTATTAAAAAAATTTTTTTAAGTTTTATTTATTTAAGTAATCACTACAGCTAATGTGGGGCTTGCACTCACAACCCTGGAATCCAGAGTCTCTTGCTCTTCTGAGCCAGCCAGGTGCCTCATTCATTTTGTTTGCTTGTTTGTCTGGAAAACTTATTATTTTTATTAACGTAGGTTTATATCTTAACACAATGGGTTTATTATTGTCATTTTTAAAAAAGATTTATTTATTTATTCATGAGAGACACAGAGAGAGAGAAAGAGAGGCAGAGACACAGGCAGAGGGAGAAGCAGGCTCCATGCGGGGAGCCCGATGTGGGACTCGATCCCGGGACCTCGGGGTCACAGCCTGGGCCAAAGGCAGGCACCAAACCGCTGAGCTACCCAGGGATCCCCCCTATTATTGTAATTTTAAAATGCGATAATAAATATTGCAAACATTTATCAGTTTTAATTTCTAACATGGTAAATATCAATAGACATAATCCCCAGAAATAATAGCCCTGTGGGGTCCTTCATAATTTTAAGAACGTGAAGGCTTGAGAGCTGCTGCTTTTTGTCTATATGTATGTCCCAGGCACAAGAAAATCATTCATTCATTCATTCATTCATTCATTCACCATGTCATAGTAAAAACTGAAATACTGTCACTGTCGGGAGAAAGTAACATGAAACTGAAGCCCCGTGGGAGTCAGCCAGAGGAAAGGAGAGGGAACAGTGTGTTTGGACAGAGGGAACTGTGCATGCAGAGAGGAAGGTAGGAGGTGGTTGTTGATGGGGTCGAAGTGAGAATGGTAGTTAGTTTGCTGTCCTCATGGGCCAAGCACTGATGCTCACCCATCTGCACGGAAACCTGCCTAGGGTGAGGTGGCCACTGGGCAAATGGTCACTCAACTCTAAACTGTGCTAAATGCAGGGCACCTGCTGGCTCAGTGGTTGAGCATCTGCCTTCTGCTCAGGGCGTGATCCTGGGGTCCCAGGATCCAGTCCCCCATCAGGCTCCCGGCAGGGAGCCTGCTTCTCCCTCTGCCTATGTCTCTGCCTCTCTCTCTGTGTCTCTCATGAATAAATAAATAAAATTAAAAAACAAAAACAAAAACAAAAACACCTGTTAAATGCATCGGGGGAGAGAATGAAGGTGTGTGATTTAGGCTGGGGAGGAGTCAGGGGAGGTTTTTCTAGGAAGGTGATGGTAAAGCCCAGATCTGAGAAGGAAAGAGTTGGGGAAGGAGCAGAGCGAAGAGTACTGGGGCAGAGGGAATAGCACGGGGGTGAGGGGGTGGGGGTGGCTGTGAGGCTGGACAGACCTTGGGGCCTCAGGAAGTGCATAGGAGGCTGGCTTGGCTGGGACTGAATGGGGAGGGAAGTAGGGACAGGAGTAACGTCAGAGAGGTGAACAGGAACCAGTCACTGGGCCAGAGGGTGAGGATTTGGGGTTTATTCTCAGCCAATGGGGAGATTTGGAAGAGTCCTGAGCTGAGGAGGGGCAGGATCCGACCTCAGAGCTAACAGGTTTCCTGTGATCAATGGTAGGAGGAAAGAGGAAAGACGAGGAAGGACGAGGTGGGAACTGGAAGCCCAGGGACTTCCAGGTGCAGGTGAGAGACGGTGGCAGCCCCAGCTCGCTAACTGGCAGTGGGCGCGGAGGGGAACAAGTGGCTGCAGGACAATCACAGGCGTCTGTGAGGACATGGGGAGGTCGGAGCCCTCACACAGCTGGTCGCTTTAGAGGGTGGTCTGGTGGCGCCTCAACAGTGAAATCAGAATTCCTCCGCGGTCCAGCAAGGCCCCTGCTGGGTATCCACCCGCAGGCGGTGACAACACGCGTCCACACAAGCACCTGTGCCTGCGTGTTCCCAGTAGCACGATTCGGAGCAGCCTGAACCCAAATGTCCATCAGCTGAGAGGCCGACGGAGGAAGCTCGGTAGATCCAGACGATGGAGCATCTTCCAGCCACACAATGGGGTGAATTTGTGATGGGCGCCACTACAGGAAGGAACGTGGAAACCTCTGTGCCCAGTGAAAGAGGCCAGACACCAATGGCCACATCTTGTAGGATTCCATTTATTTTTATTTTTTAAAAAGATTTTATGTATTTATTCGTGAGAGACACAGAGAGAGGCAGAGACACAGGCAGAGGGAGAAGCAGGCTCCATGCAGGGAGCCCGATGTGGGACTTGATCCCAGGACCCCCAGACCACACCCTGAGTAGAAGGTAGATGCTCAATCACGAGCCACCCAGGCGTCCCAAGGACTTTGATTTGTTCACTGCTATACCCTCAGTGCCTAACCCAGTGCTGGGTGCAAGAAGATCTTAATACATACTTATTGGATGAATGATCAAGAGTTACATGGTCTCTAACTGAACCACCCAGGCACCCTTAGGATTCCATTTAGAGGAAAATGTCCAGAATAGGCAAATCTGATAGAAAGTAAGTTAAGGGTTGCCTTGGGATGAGGGGAACTAAAGGATTTCTCACTGAGGATGGTGAGCGCAGGCTAAAATTGATGGTGGTGATGGTTGCATAACCTGCTGAATCTACTAAAACCCACTGAATTTACTGTGTTTTTTTTTTTAAGATTTTATTTATTCATTCATGAGAGACATGGGGAGAGAGAGAGACGC